TCTTGGAGACAATGAGCAGCTGGAGAACAAATTTAAGCAAGAGAATGAAATGTCAGATTTTAATTTTAGATAGAAAACCCCAGGTATTGTGGGAATTCGAAGAGAACAAGATTGGTGGCTGGGAGAAGAGCTAGGAGATGACTGCCAGCATCCGTGTGTAAGAACAGGAGAGGAGGAGTTTGGAATTATTCGGAAAGTAAAATCGTTAGGCCTTTGTCTCTGACTGATGTCTGGTGAGGGAGGCTGGCTGCAGAAGAAAATATTGTCTAGAGTCAGTCTGCGGGTGGTGACAGCATTCTCTGAGACTAGGCTGACGATAGTAGAGGTCTGGACGGAGAAACAATCAGCTTGGTTTTGGACGGGGTGTAGGTGCCTGGGAGACACAGAAAGCACATGCTGGTAGTTAGCTCCAAGAATCTAGGGTTTATGGAGGACTGAGTTAGTGCAGAATACGCATCACCAGTGCTTCAGAGCAGTTAAAGCTATAACCAAAAGGAACACATAGGAATTATCAGTGGTCAGAGTTTTTTCCTCAGGCAATCCCAAATTAGGAGACAAAGAAAAGAGAATCTCTAAAGAGACAGTGAAAGAAGAGTCAGAAAGGAAGCAAGAGATAGCAGTACTGGACATAAAAACAAAAAGAACAAAGCTGCAGGGAGGCCAGAGTGACCCAGAGGGAAAGAACAGAAGCGTTCACTGAATCAGGAGTCCAGGACTGGGAAGCTAACACACCATGGCTGCAGTAACCCAATGCCCACAGAGCTACCGCCTTAAGATAACTCCAGTTTATCACATTTGAGGGCTGGAGGTCAGAAGTCTGAAATGAGTTTTGCTGGACTTTACACCAAGTGGTTAACAGAGCTGGTTCCTCTGGAGTCTTTCAAGGAGAACCTGCTTCATGGCTTTATGCAGCTTCTAGAATCCACTGCCTTCCTGGGCTCATGGCTCCTTCCTGCCTTTATGGCAGCAGTCTGCATCTTCAAGTCCCTCTCTGACCTTGATTCTCTCGCCTCCTTCACCTATGATCCACTGGGCCCAGCTGGAGAATCCAAGGAAACATCCCCACTTAAAGATAATGCAATCAGATCTGCAGCATCCTTTTGGATGCATGAAGGAACCTATTTACAGGTTCCAGGGACTAGGGTGGGGCATCTTTGCAGGGGTCATTATTCTGCCTACCACATGGAGAGAACAAGATGCAGGAAAGAAGAAACAGCAGTCTCTATCAATCCTAGATTAATCTTTCAAGAAGTCTGGATTAGAAGTGAAGAGGGAAAATAGGGCAGAGAAAAGCCAGAGGGTAAAAAGGATTTTTTTTTTTTTTTTTAAGCAACATGATCAAGACATCAGCAAGCTCACCAGCTATGAGGAAGTGGCAGCAGAGACACACAGGCTAAGAAGGGACAAAAAGGGGGACCGAGGAGCAGGCTCCTTGCAGGGGTAAGACTGGGATCTGGAATAGTGTTCACAGGGCTGGCCAAGAAGAAGAAAAGTGGATCTTCAGTAAGCAGGGAGAGAGAGATGGTCCAGGCAGATGGAGGAGGTGGATGGAGCTGGCCAAGGTCAGAGATGGGTAGTAGGAACACTGAGATGGGGTCAGCGTAGAGCTCATTCATCAGCAAGGGCATCAAACTTGCAAAACACACACGTTACAATGAGACAGACTCCATTTGAAATGTCTTTCTCACATCTCAAGAAAAGCAGAGATTAAAAAAAAAATACTAAGTAAATGTAAGTAAATAAAATGGTCTTTGACTTTTTGAATAGCAAATACAACTTTGTTATATGACCCAACCTTTTAAAAAGAGCACATGTTTAATAATGGCCCATAGCTAAGAAAATCAGTTTGCTCTATGTTTGGCAGACTTCCTTTTGACACAACTGGATTTCAGTTTTTAATGGGGGAGAAAACAAGTTCACAGAGGTCTTTTCTTTTAAAATCGGCATTTTCTCTTTAGTCGTAAAATGCATGCAAAAAGCTTGTGATTATGGTATTTATGTTTCCATTAAGGTGTCCTCAGCAAGCTGGGGGAGTCTAGCCTACTATTTTCCTGCTATTTAGATTTATAGCAGCACAGTAACTATTTTATTTCAATTATATTTGAGGACAGTGCTCTCTTGGTGGCAAATGATTGCATGGTGACAGCCAGCAAATGTCCATTAGAACTGTCCTTCTGTGGAGTTTTTGACTACAGATTCTGGGATCTTACTATAAAAATATGAATTGTTGGTGCCCTCAAATAAATAAAAAACATTACCGACTGTCATTCCATCAATATATATATTTTTTTAAGAATTCGAAGCACACAAAACTTTTGGATTTAAATTGTATAATTTACAAAAAGAAACTTTTTGCTGAGTGTCAAGAAACACTGAATAAAGTTTATGAATAACACACCTGCAGGCTGACATTTTGAATAACATGATGATTCGGTCATAGGTAAACAATGGGCATTTATGGATGCCCAGATAAAGTCGTACCCAATATGGAAATTATATATCATTTCACAGCTTCACTGTAAACAGACCTTACTAAACAAACTGATATTAGAGTTCTGATTTGATTTGGATCAGCTGCATCACACTCTGAAGACACAGCAATCAAATAGGATATACACTCCACCAAAGAGATGTAGGATTAGTAATCACTGACAATAGAGTCTGGTTACAAGCAGGATAAAAGTTAAATACACCAAAACTTTGGTGAGTTTGAGCTTTGTTATTCATAGAAAATAGAAGAATAGGTCTGGCTTCACTGGCATCCACCCAATACGAAACACAGAATGTTATCAAGAGCATTAATAAATAGTAATAACAATGACGCTATGACCAAAGGGTACGGTCAGATAATAGTACACATGTTAAGTCAATTAAACAGGCATGGACATATTGCCGGACAGAGCATGAAGCTATTCTAGAAAAAATATTTTATAAATAATATGTGGAAATGGAGGAAGTGTCCCATTCTGACATCAAATTCACAGCACTTAATACAGGATCCCTGGTTATTTCCATGTGGGGCTACCAGATCCACATTTCCATCAGATCAATCAAAATAATAAGCAGTGAAATTCAGAATACGGCTTTCTTACTGAACAATAAAAACACCAGAACAGATTCAGGCTATACTTCACACTGTCAATGGACTGGCGATACTCCCATGAAATCCAAAAATTTGAATAGTAAAGTTCATCTGACACCAACAGCAAACTTGGGTGAAATTTAGTTAGTTGATAGGAGATTCTTTACTGGGTATAAACTCTCTCTGAGGAGTCTCAAGTTTTATGTTTCCATTATTTAACTTTTTAGAAAGTTAATAGAACCATATTCTAGGTCATCTTGTATGTCATTTCCCTGTCTGAATTGAAGTTTATACATACAGAGGCATCAAGAAATGCTACTTTCACTGATGTCTTGAGTTAATGATAGAGAAGCAGGTTGGACTTCACGCCTTAGGATACATCGATAGGGTGCACAGGTCAAAGATCGCTGGCTACAGACATGCAAAAGAACCACAGGATCTAACTGAGAAGAGAGATGGCTGAACTGAGTCAGCCCTTGACTTGTGAGGCAAACTGAAATGAATCTGCTATGGAGTATCCACCACCATGTTCATGATTTGTGCGAGACTTTAGATTTTAAAAAAAAACATTATTGGCCACATTAAAGTAATGTTGTTCATTTGCATGTAATGGTTTTGCAGTTTTGTTTGTATTTAATTTGTAAAGAGGTTTGGTTTTATAGTTATATAATGGCTATAAACAGAAGGAGTTCAGCCCTATTTTATTTTTATACATATTTAAATAACATTATAATCAAAACAATTTAATTCTATACGGCAGTATCAAGAGATTGTTTTTTGAAGAGTCTCTACGTTACTCTAGTCTGAGAAACACTTTTTTACAGCTTTCATTCTGACAGAAAAAGACAATGGGGGTGAAGCCATTATTTCCAAGCCAAATTCATATTCAGGTATAGGTTGATGAAGAAATACTTCACAGGTACCATAATTACCAACTTTTTGGATTAGCAATATCATTGTTCAATGGACTGCTTATCTCTGAAAAAAATAATTACAAAACACAAAATTTAAATTTCTGTGATTTCTCCAGAATTTTGATTCTGGAAAAGGGTTAATCCATCTGTGTTTTAAGAAGCCCTCCAGGTATCTGATGCATGCTAAAGAACCAGTGGTTTGAAGGGAAACCTTCCTACTTTTACTGTTCAAAGCATAGCTCCACTATTGAGCAATGATTTTAAGACACCATTATAAGATGGGATGGAGTGAGTGTATTGTTTATGACAATAGCATGCAAGTGTTTCAAATAAAAAGAAATGAGTACTATTTTCTTCATGAACTAAATTTTATATGGTGCCTGAATATATAAATGGAGGGATGGAAAAAGATGTTTCTAAATTGTTTCAGATAAAATTTGAAATAAATATATAACCATTAACATAGGGTCAGCATTGTACTTCTTTGTGCTATACTAATGTACACAAGCAGACCTGTGGTTTGTTAACAAGCAGTTTGAAGACTGGCTATACTATATATCTCATTCACTAATTCTTTCATGACATGAAAATCATGTCACCAAAAAAAAAAAAAAAAAGGCCCAAATAAACCATAATTAAACCAAATCGTGTCATTGCTCATCTAGTTAATTATCATAAATAGAGGCTCACCTCACAATAAAAAAAAAAGCCTTAAATTGAAGAACCACAATTTCAACTTTTTCTTATCTGAGTTTTAAACTACAGGTCTCCCATCTGAAACCATTTTAAGAACAAGATGAAATACGCTGGGATCATGAGACAAGTTATCAAAATCTCTGTTCCTTCCATTAGACTTTGATTTGTGTAAACTCGATGCTCTCAGACACAACAGCTTTTTAAAGGCTGTTAATAAAAGGCAGTTCTTGCTTGAGAATTGATGAACTTGTCATAAACTATATAATAGCTAATTTGGAAGCAATACTCTGATTGCTTCTGGAGCCTACCTGTCTGCAGGTAAAGGTTTGGAATTCCGCGGCTTCTTCACTTGGGCATACAAAGCATCCATCATATGCCCTTCTCTTGGGCTCTGAGGTCTGGTGCTGAGAGCCATGGAACCTTCATAGGAAGAAATTCCCCCGTACAACAGCTCATCATCACAGCCAAATGTCCGATGAAAATCTTGGATTTCAGCATAGTCACGTTCCCGAGCCTGTCGCTCCCTAAATTCTCGAGTTTTGGCTTGAATCCTGTAAAATTAAAATAAGTTGGAGCAAGAAAAACTATGCCTTTCCTAAGAACTGGATATAGAACATTCATCAAAATACATTGCAAAATACATATTCTTTCATGCAGTTCTAAGAAGCTAGATAGGATAAACAATGTTATATTCATTTTAGATTATCAAGGTAATGTCATGGATTCTCAAAAATTATCATTTCAGATAGCTTTGTTCATGTCAATAAGACATACTCATAATTTACATCTTATTTTAAATTATCACTTATTAACTAACTCTAAAAACCCACTAGGAATAGTTTTAGGCATCCACTTGCATTTTATTCATGAAACTTTTTGAGGCAAAAAGTCACTTTTTTAAAAGTTATACACACACATACTGTATTTGCATACATTTATGTATGGATATACATGTACGATCTTCTCATTATAGTGATACCATACACATTCAACATACTCTGAAGCTTAAGTATGAATCCACACTATTATTCTTTATTAATGGCAAAAGATCTTAGTTTAATGATACTGACTTTTATTTTTTGTGATGTAGCTGGCAAAATCCCGAGATTAAGGACAAGAAGGCATGTACTCAACCAAATTCTGAAATCAATCTATTGATATTGTGCTAAGTTGGTCTTAGTTAGCTGAAGATAATTCAACAACCCTTGATAGAATTTTGAAAATTTTTAATGGGAAAAAATATTTCTATTACATACTTATAAATTTAAATGTTTACTTAAAAGTGAAGTCTTATTTATAAAAGCAATACTTTGGGCTGTGTTTAACATTTTATTGCAAGGTTATTTACTTTTTTATATTCAAAGTAGACCACTGCTAGAATAAATGATACATAAATGTATTTAAAAGAATACAGAAAAGATAAAAAATCAGATGAACACAGTCCATTAATAAAAGAGAAAACTAAAGGTCAGTATTTCTCATGAATATAGAAACCAAATTCCTTACCAAAATATTAGCAAATAGAATTTGGTAATATATAAAAAGAATTATATACCATGACAAAGTGATGTTTATTGCCTGAATGCAAGGCTGGTTCAATATTTTAAAAATCAAACAATGCAATACATCATATTAAGAGATAAAGAAGAAAAAATTACAAGATTATATCAACTGATGCAGAAAATGCATCTGATAAAATTCAGTAGTCATCATGAGAGAATTCCCAAAAAACTAAATAGAGCAGAACTAACTTCCTAAACTTGATAAAAAGCATCTATAAAAAACCCATTGATAACATAATGGAGAAAGACTGACTGCTTTCCTTTAAGATCAGGAAAAAGGTAAGGATATCTGCTTCCACCACTATAATTCAACATAGTGAAATTCTAGACAATGAAGTCAGCTTAGGAAAGGAAATAACTGGCATATAGACTGGAAAGGAAGAAATAAAACCATTCTTATTTGTAGACAGCATGATGGTCTTTGTAGAAAATCCCAAGGAATCTACAAAAAATCTCCTATAACTAAAAGGAAAGTTCAGTAAGGTAACAGAATAGTAATACAATATTAATAAGCAAAAATCCATCATATTTCTATATCTTGGCAGTGAACACAGATGCCAGAATTAAACTACAATGTCATTTACAACCACTAAAAGAATGAAATACACTGATTAGAAAGGTTTGTTTATAGATATGTATAAAATACACAGGTATAAACCTAACACAACATATACAGGACTTATATGCTGAAAATTATACATGGATGATGAAAGAAATCAAGGAAGATCTAAAAACTGGAGAGACATATGATTTTCATGAATGAAAGACTCAACATAGTAAAGTCAGTTCTCCCCAAGTTGATAAACAGCTTAATGTAATTCCTATAAAAGTCCAGCAAGACTCTAATAGATACAAACAAGATTATTTTTAAGTTTATATAAAAGGGCAAAGGAAAAAATAGCTAAACAATTGGGATAAGAACAAAAAAAGTGGGAGGAATCACACTTGATGGTGTGTTTCCTATGGCGGGAGAGACACTTAGATCAGTTGAGCAGGATAAAAAACTCAGAAAAAGCTTACAAGTATGGCCAATTGATTTCTCATAATTGTACAAAGCAATTCAATGAAATAAGTCTTTTCAACAAATAGTGCTGGAGCAATTAGACATCCGTAGGCAAAAACAAAAACAAAACCAAACAGAACAAAACCCATATTGAATTTAAACTTCATCCCTGATACAAAAATTAACTAAAAATGGATCACAAATTTATATGTAAAACTACAGTTTACCTGTGGCCACCAACAGTGGGATAGGACTCAAAGAACTGACAAATCTCGTTATTACTCTGAACCAATGTGCATTTTAATGTTCATCCTAGAAATAGATGCTATCAAAGCTTGCTGCACCAATGGCGCTAAAAGTGGAGCTTTAGGACGAGGAATGCAGTGTGATTTTGGTGCACTTTAGTGACAATTCGGCCAAGAAAAGTCACACAATGATTTTATTTTATACTTTTACATTTGAATGTCTTACTTGTTATAAAGTGAGAAAAGAGACCGCAACACAACCAAAAGTTACATATTCATCTCATATATTTTCATGTTTATTTTCATTGTCATATTTTTCTCATTTCAGGAAAAAAATTTTTGGTTCAGGAGAGAAAATGGTTTTGTTTAAGGAAAATCACATAGTTTAAGGAAACTTTTCAAAAAGAGGGTGTCTTGCAGTGTAGCCCTTAACAACTCCAGATGGTCAGTGCTATAAAAGGACACCCCCTCTGCTGTTTTACGGTGACCCTAAGGTCACAAATTATCTCTAAGATGTAAGACTCATCCGTTTTTCTGAACAGTCAGGTTGTTGTTTAGCAGTATCCATCTAATTTATCTCCAGCCAAATCTCAGCAATGACAAAAGTAACTGATTAGCAAAAAAATTAGCCAAAGAAATAAATGTCTATTGATTTAAGCAGCCCAGAAAGTCGTTCTGAGCCATAAACAAGAGAACCATTCTGAGGTTTAAATGATGGCAGACAGCTGTTCTGACATGGATGGGCAACACATTCAGGCACTATTTCCCAATTCTCTGAATGTTAAGAAAAAAATGTGAAAACAACTACTAAAACTTTTTATTAAGACCTTTAAAAATGTTAATAAAGAATTTATCGTTTCAATTTGGTATGTTCAAACATAAATATTCACACCTTTCTTTTTTGTTAGAAAAAAAAAAAGTATTTTCCATTATGATAATGAAATTGCCTTGAACCTGCATAGAAAATAATACACAAAATAATGTAATATACTAAATAAAGTAATAAGGTTAATTTCTTTCCTGCTGTCACTAAATTCATGCTAACAGTCTCTCTTCAGCTTGACATCAATTAATGATTTTCACTCCAGACTCTTGTCACAGTGTTCACCACCCTTTTCTCTAATTAAAATGGATGATGCATGATGAAGATAAAACACACAAGACTTCTGTTCTTGTAACATTTCTATTCATTAGAATTTTTGCTTTTACAATAAATGGCTTTTAACACTAATTGCAGGAGAGTAAAATGAAAATAACTTTTTTATGACTATGAAGTATAGTCCTTACATATCCAGAAAAGACACAAGTCTTAATAAGCACTACTATTAAGGAACCAACTTCTCAAGATAGAAAAATCAATGGTTCCTTAAATTACTCTACTGTATTCAAAATACTTCTACCTCAAACATTATGAAGGCTCAATACATGGAATGTTTTGAATAATAAGTTTTTAAAAACTCCAAGAAGCAGAAATTGACCTTTAATGTTTTTAATTGGAAAAAAAAATCGCTTTTAACATCTACAAAAGATAGGATATACTAATATTACTTTAACATACAAATTAAAATAAATTTTATATTGCTACATATTAGATAAGTGTAAACTATCTTCAAAACAATGTTCAAGAGCTTGAAATCAACTCTTTTGGGTAACATTTTGTCCCCCAAGTTATTGTACTATCATATGGAAGCCTGATTCTGGGAACAAAGTTCCTGGATCTTTTCCCAGCAATATTTCCTCTCTAAAAATCAGTATTAGAGAAATTCATCAAATAAAATCCCAATTTCATGACAGAATGAAATGTAAGCAACAAGGCAACTGGAAAAAACAGTTTGACCAACTGACTGAATCCTGACTTGCCCCTCAAAACAGCTGCGTAAATGGGAGACATCAGAAGCCTTCCATCTTCACCTCACCCTGCTGGGCAAATCAAACAACTGCCATCTACCTAGACGTAAGCTGCCAGTGGATCATCTATGCTGAACTCCCAAAAGAAGGAAAATATCCCACTAAATATGAAGAGTTGTCGTTTTAAGTAGGATTTTAATATGTTTATAGTATTGGGGCAAAAGTTGACTGGAAAAGCCTTCCATGTTCTGAATGGATTCTTTAAAAAAAATTGTTGAATAGGAACAATTGTTTTAAAGATATATTTCCAATTCAAGGGAAGAAGGCAGCTGTTGAAAACCACAGTGGTTATAGTAGGTTAGGGATGGGGGAGTCAAACTTCACCCCTCAAAACTACTATATTTACAATATAAAATGATTAAAAGTTGAAAAAAGATCAAAGAAAAGCATTCACAGAGACAATACTATCCACTAACACAACCACAATTTTTCCATAATCTACACAGTTAACAAGAATGTACACTCTCAGCAGCCCTTTGTCTAAGCATGGGTATAGAATTCCTCACTTTGCTAAATGCTGAGTTCTTGAGAACTAGATCTAGACCCCAATTATCATCTCTGTATAGTGTTCCTTATTAACTCCAGCCCCACCAGCCTCTCCCCTTCCCAAAGCTCTGTGGCCATCAACTTTCAAAATTGATTATAATGTCTTATGCTGATTTTTTAATGTTAGGAGGTTTAAATCTTTTCTCCACCTTAACAAAGGTAAGAAATTCTTGACAGAGGAACAATTATAATAAGAATAAAAGTTTTATACCATTATTTTATTAATTTAATATATTGTGAGCAAGAAAAATTTCTCTTTTACACTAACAAAACACTAGAATGATATTTGACTAACACACACACACACACACACTCACTCACTACTCTCTCTCACAGATACTTGCTCATTCACTCACATTATGTTCCGGCTTTCACAAATGTCAAAGCACCTTCAATTACTTCCAACTCAAAGAGATGCTGTAATGCCAAATCTAAGAAAGCTCTAATCAAAAATAAAACTGACTTTCCTACTCCAGTTACAGACTGCCAATAAAATCTGTTTCAATTTGCCCAAGTATTGGTCTATTTTGGATTTCCATGAAGTTAATAGATTCTTTAAAAATTTGTTCACCTGCACAATAAGTTCTTAAAATATGTCTGATGAACTAATCTCATTGATTAGAACTGACTTTTCTGAAGGATTTAAGGGGACAGAGAAAATATGAAGAACCCTGCTAAATCATAGAAAAATATATTTTTCCATTAAAAGGATAAACTTTAAAAGTTGAGTTGTATTTGAATGAAAATATGTGACCTGCATGCAAAAATTATCCAGAATATCTGGGTTCTGATGTCAGAATTCAGGGAATCTGAATCCTAAGTTTCAAGCCAAAAAGGAATGAAAATTGTTTATTCTTTTAGATGCACAGGGAATACACCTATTGTTGCTATATAGTTTATTCCTTCTGTAATTTTACTAATTCTTATTCATGCACTTTAAAGAAACCTTACTACTATATCCTGATACATATTTTTAAAATGAATCCTGCAAAAACTAACAAATAAACACATGCCATCTCTGAAAATGATCTTATCAACTAAGAAAGACCACAAAAATGTTTCTATCAAAATTTCAAGAACTTACTCAAAGCAGATATTAGAAACGGTAAAACTGAAAAGAGAAATGCCAGTGATTGGAAACTGGAGGCAAAAAGGCCAGAAATTTTTATTTCTTGAATGTCATATCTATATAAGATGATGAATGTTCACTAAACTTATTATGGTCATCATAAGAAAACAAAAAAACAACTCAATTCTGATTTCTATAGCCAGCTAGATGAATGAGCTGGACATGGCTAAACTAGGAGCCAATGGTCTTTACTTGTCATCAGTATTTCCCAAATGACTCTTAATTCTGAGAGATATTAGTATTTTGTGGGAAAAAGTAATGAAGACGGATGTATATCTATGAGTAAATAAGTTAGGAAATGATGATTCTCTAGTCTGTGGGCTTCCCAGGTGGCACTAGTGGTAAAGAACCTGCCTGCTGATGCATGAGATGTATGAGATGTGGATTCAACCCCTGGGTCGGGAAGATTCCCTGGAGGAGAGCACAGCAACCCACTCCAGTATTGCCTGGAGAATCCCATGGACAGAGGAGCCTGGCGGGCTACACAGGGTCACACAGACTTGGACATGACTGAAGCAACTTAGCACGAACATGCCCACAAACATTTTGGTGACTCACAATGTACATGAACAGAATTAGGCTGTTGAGAAATAACAGAGTAAAGAAATATGTATAAGCTGCTTTTAACCAAGTGTTTCTCAAACATATTTGCATGTGGAGCCCTTTTTCTGCTGATGAATGCTATTTGGGAAACCCCACACAATATTTATATGCCAAAATGAAGCTATCAACAGAGCAAGAATATAGTAGAAAGCCTCCCCTCCAAAAAAACAGAAAGCCAAAGATTACTTCTGACACTGAGTTAACAGAAAAATCCACTGATGTGCTTTATACTTGAAGCTCGGTGGGCCCAAAGTTACAGAGATCATGTAATTGAATCTGTGTTATTTGGGAATCAGAGCCCCATCCTTTCGTGAGGTGGAATGAGCTAATGTGCATGCATGCGTGCTCAGGTGCTCAGTCATGTCCAACTCTTTGTGACCACATGGGCTGTAGCCCACCAGGCTTCTCTGTGCATGGGATTCTCCAGGCCAGAATACTGGAGTGGGTGGCCATGCCCTTCTCCAGGGGATCTTCCTGATCCAGGGACTGAACCTGCGTCCCTTGCATCTCCTGCATGGCAGTTACTGGGGGAAGTCCCTAAATGTACTTAGTCCCTCAGTAGTGTCTGGCCCTTTGCAACCCCATGGACTGCAGCCCGCCAGGCTCCTCTGTCCATGCGGATTCTCCAGACTAGAACACTGGAGTGGGTTGCCATGCCCTCCTCCAGGGGATCTTCCCAACCCAGGGATTGAACTGGGGTCTCCTGCATTGCAGGCAGATTCTTTACCAGCTGAGCTACCAACGAAGCCCAAATGAGCTAACAAGGGCTACCAAATGTGGTCAACAGCTTCACCGAACAGGTACGGTACCAAGCTTAGCGCTCAAAGCTGGAAATCAAAATAGCACATCTCAGGATCAGCTAACTTCACCCTTGCTGTTTTACTTCTGAAGAGGAGACCTGAGGCACAGAGGCTTTGGTTCAGAGAGAACTGGTGAAGCCCAAAGACAGACCCACACCAGGATCCTTCTCCTCTTTTCTCCAAGTAGACAGCACGTATCTGAGACCCAGTGACGGCAGCGAGTGGAAGGAAAGGCAGCAAAGTGAGCAAGAATGAAGGCAAATTCCACCTCAGACCCCTGCTCTGAAGAATCTAACTTACTTTCACTATCTAAGTAGATATTAACATGGTAGGAAAAACCATTTTCAACTATATTTATTGTCCTTTTGATTTTTTAATATTCTATCGAGTCATATTCAGGCATCGTGGATTTGTACTGACAAAAGAAAAATTTTGGTATGTGGACCTGACATAACTAACAACTAAGGAATATCAGGTTTTCTATTTTTAGATAGAATCAGCCGAAATTATTTTTGGAACTCAAATAGCTACAGTAGTAAATAATATTACAGGAGATGTTTCACTGCCCATCAGCAGTGAAGGAAAAGCTGTCAGGAGAATACAGGCAGTGGCTTATTTAGTTTTTTCTATTACCTCCAGTCAGGTTCTTCCCAAAGAAGCTGCAGTTTTCATTCTCAAAAGGAGCAATGTCAATGCCAATAGACAGAATAGGAAAGAGGTTTTACAAAAGCAGAATTGCTTTATCAAAATAACACACACTAAACAAGAACCACTTATGCAAGTCAGTGAGTCTCATATATTCCCCTGCTCAGTTACAGGATCCATGAGTTTAAATAGAACATACTTGTAAAAACTGTTATTGAAACATGCGGTCAAACAGTTTTCTTAAATTATGAGGCTAATTGATTTTTTTTAATGGACCATTCACTTGTTCCCTGACCCTAAAAGATTCTTTATTCTAGGCCTCTTGTACGTTGTAAATTCATTAGGACCAACCTAGTTCCCAGAAGTATTGCATCATTAGAGGTACAGAGAAGCAGATTAAAAGCAAAGTGGAGAGGTGAACTGTGCCTTAGGCAAATTAATAATACAAGTGAAGCCATTATGTAAAACCATTGTTTGGCTGTAAAAATTTGACTATGCATTATAAAGGATTTTGGAAAACGTTGATAGAATTCCGCATTGAAACAGAGCAGTTCATCTTAAACTGCAAAAAAAGGGAACATTTAGAATATGAAAAATGGTGCAGGATTAATGACACTCTTCCCCTAAGCTGGCATCAAGATAGGGAGAAGTACAATGTTTTTTCCTACCCATTAAATTATTCTCTAACTAAATCACATATTTGCCTGTGGATATATCTGAGTTCATACATTTACCTGGTATATACTTTTCCTTAAGGGATAAGAAAGTCTTTTAAGGTAGATGTTTATACTACTGAACACTTAAATGCCATACTCAAACACTGAGAACACTGCGTGTCCTGTTCTAAAAATAGTGAGTTTATTAAGTCTGGGGATGTCTAAACTGATGAGGATTAGAGAGAGTCAGAAAAGCAAGAAAGGTGGAATGACTTTTTTTTTAATTGGAGAAGTGGAAGAATAGACTCAATTTTGTAAAATAGATTAAAAGTGCATATTTTTCCCCACTTATTTATTTTATAAACTGCAAAGCTAGAAATAGAGAATCACACCATTCCAGAAAAACACAAAAACATAACCCGCAGGGGTATAAGAAAGATGAATGAAAAATAGCCAAACATGAATCACTTCTGACAGAAAAGCCTGTCTTTCTTTGTGTCCTTGTTAAGAATGAGATCAAAGGTGCCACAACTCTAGAATTATAGTAAGAATAGCCGACTTAGCTTTAGAGATGCTGGGTTACAACCCTAGTTATGGATAATATTTAGCTTTAAAACCTTGATCAAAGTAACTTTTCATCCATTTCATTGGTCTGTGGGTTCCCACCATGAAATGATTCAACAGTAGATAACAATCTTTCAGGAAGAGATAGAGAAACATTTAAGTAAAAAATGTCACACAAAATATGATAGCAAAACAGGAGGAAAAAGAAATAGATGTCTGACTTCATAGGAAAACAATATAGTAAAAAATCAATAGCCTCCTCAATTCTTATTAAAAATCAAAATATTTTAAATGAGATATAAAAACTCAAATAATTTTATTTCCAGATGAATATTTCTTTAAAAGTATTACAGTATACTACATACTCATAGGTGAATGAGACAGATTACATATTTTTGCCATTTTAAGTGATCACTAATGCTGATTTATTTTCTGTTAATATCCATGCTCATATGCCCTACCATCTTCTATGCAAAGATCTTAACCAAAACCAATAAAATTCATTTCAATGCCACAAAGTAAAATAAGGTTTTTTCCTTTTAATTGTTTTTACATTGTATTCATCCAACCATCAGTATTTGGACTGACACAGAAAGATAAAATAAAAATAAATGCATAAAATACAAATTTCATAAATCTCTTTATATTAAAAAAAGAACGAGTAGAAAGGAACACAAGCGCCTCCCTTGAATGAGGTCCACCCAAATAACTGGCATCTACCTTTCCCGCTCCTGCTTCATCCGTACTCTCTCCTCTTCTGACGTAAGGGAGTCCTGTATTTTTATTTTACCCGTTTTCTCAATCTTGTCATCTTTTCGATGTTTGCCAAACCTGTTGATAACAAAAAATTCTAACTTGTCAATGTATACAAAATGCATTGTCATTCTCCTGGGATAAGACCTATGCACTCAACGAAGTGTGAGCATCCTCAAAATGAGGCCCCAATGCCGCCTGCCCAGTATTAATATTTTCAGACAGATTACTTTAATCCACTTTAAGGGCAACTTTCCAGAGAAAAACCATCTTTGGAAATGGCCTCCATAGCTGTTTTTCTTTAGCCAACAGAAAAATAACAAAATCCTTATGCTTCATCCTTATTAAACACACAATCCATAAATGCATAGAACTGAGTGCTGGAGGATAAAAATCTGCATCAGAGTGGGTTTCTCTTAGGACTACAGAATGGAAATCCACAAGCATCATTTTAATGATATCTTCACAAACAACTATTCTTTATTTTCATAGACAAGTTTATTGGCAACATGTGTCATACTTTAAACACTGACAAACAAGGTTATATTTGCAAGGTTCAAAGCAAAAAAAGGATAATTTACACACTGACCATACTTTGGGCTTATTAAACTGAAGGCTTTAAGGCAGTCTCAACAAATACTGTTCCTAAACCTGATGAAACGCTATTGCTGAATGTGGCATCTCTGACTTGGAAATCTGTATCCGATCAAAAACAAACATGAGAAACAAACACGTGATTCAGAAACAGTCCACACACATTTCCACAGATGGGCACTGAATTCTAGGCTTTCCAAGAAAACACTAATATGATTCCCTTCTGTATCCGAAATGCCTCAGAAACCCCAGACTCGGTATCCATTCTTTTTCCACTGTTGCTTTTTTCTACTGTTCTCCAGACCAGACCATGTTGCCTAGAAGGCATGTGCTCTGTCCACAGAAATAACATTCATCTGGAGTGATTTGGTCACCACATGTTTCAAAAAGCAACTCTTTTATAGACAGTTAGTCAACTACACATTCACGAGTATATAAAGTATATTGAGAATTCTCAATTGAGCACAAAGTAGGAATTTGGCTTATGGTGATAATCATACTGAAAAAAGAGGAGTAAAAGGGTAGGATCAAAGTTGATATAAAAGAGAGAGAAAAAAAACAAGTGACTTTGCCGGCAGTCCAGTGGCTAGGACTTTAACTTCCAATGCAGGGGGCATGGTTTCGATCCCTGGTCAGGGAGCTAAGACCCCACATGCCTCAGGGTCAAAACACCAAAGCATAAAGCAGAAGCAATATTGTAACAAATTCATTAAAGGCTTTTTAAAAAACTGGTTAACTTTAAAAAAAATCTTTAAAAACAAAAAAAAGAGAGAAATCTCAATTACTAGAATGGTTGGGAGCATACATCTTTCTTTTTTGATATAAATGTGATCTCAAATATGCAGCATTTGAGTACACGGGAATACTTCCTGTGTTCATGAAAGTAACACTATGTTATAAGTAAGTAAGGGAAAGCATTCTGAAAAGGTTAAAACAGAAAATAGTTAGAGCATCACCACCACTATTCCTTTAAAATTATCTGTATCATTAAATAGCAATGAAAACTGCCTGTGAAATTAACTTTCACAAAGCAAACATATCCCTAAATTTTAATGTTATTTAGAAATTAGAAGATCATTTCTGTTGCAAAAAGAAAAGAAAAACTCCCTAGAAACCTAAGCCCAGAAACTAATGACTTCTTACAAGGGAGAAAATATGTAGCATGCTTTTAAAACTAATAAATACAAAGCTTTAAAAATAAAAAATTTTCTCTTTCCTTTGTTCTTGTCAATATATCAATAATGCCTAGGAGGTAAACATAATGAGTATCTTTGTGGTTGTTGTTCGGTCGCTAAGTCGTGTCCAACTGTGAGCCCATGGACTGCAGCATGCCAGGCCTCCCTGTCCTTTACTAACTCCCAGAGTTTGCTCAAACTCATGTCCATTGAGTCAGTAAAGCCATTCAACCATCTCATCCTCTGTCGTCCCCTTCTCCTCCTGCCCTCAATCTTTCCCAGCACCAGGGTCTTTTCCAAGGAGTCAGTTCAATGCATCAGGTGGCCAAAATATTGGAGCTTCAGCTTCAACATCAGTCCTTCCAATGAATGTTCAGGTTTGATTTCCTTTAGGACTAACTGGTTTGATCTCCTTGCTGTCCAAGGGACTCTCAAGAGTCTTCTCCAGCACCACCATTTGAAAGCATTAATTCTGCGGTGCTCAACCTTCCTTATAGTCCAGCTCACATCCATACATGACTACTAGAAAAACCATAGCTTTGACTGTGCAGACCTTTGTCAGCAAAGTGATGTCTCTGCTTTTTAATATGCTGCTAGGTTTGTCATAGCTTTTCTTCTAAGGAGCAAGAGTCTTTTATTTTCATAATGACTATCTTTATAGAATGAATTAACAAAAGAGCAAACCAAAACAACTGACATATCTCAGGAGGAGCCATCATCTAACACATAATGTTCATTCATTTGACAGAATTTACTGAGCATCTACAAGGGGTTCAGGGAACAGTGCAGGGCTGGACAAATTAATTTGTGTGTTGTCAGCATGTACATGTTATTTAAAGCCCATGTGAATGCCATTGTGAAAATTCTACAACATTAAGGCACCTGGAAATATAAAAGCCATTAAATTCTAACTTTAAGAAAAATGTCAAGTTCACATCTTAATGCATGATATTTACTTATAACAGGGATTCCTAAGGTAAATCATTTAACCATTTTGTTTCTCAGTTCATAAATACCCTTCAAACATTACATTGTCACCATATTGACCTGCTTCTTTTGTGGTACTGGTTCTCATTCTGGATTATATATGTTCAACTCTGTATCATATTTGAGAAACATTACCATGGCACCAGCAATATCATCTATCTGAACCAAAGTGAAAGTGAAAGTTGCTCAGTTGTGTCCAACTCTTTGCAACCCCATACAGTACATGTAAATCTCCAGGCCACAATACTGGAGTGGGTAGCTTTTCCCTTCTCTAAGGGATCTTCCCAACCCATAGATTGAACCCACATCTCTCACAGTACAGGCAAATTCTTTACCAGCTGAGCTACAAGGGAAGCCGAAGAATACTGGAGTGGGTGGTGCAGCTTAATCTTACAAGGATCTACCCTTTGAGTTAATAATCCAGGGGAAAACTGAGGTGGTTGACTTTTCCATGTTTTAAAGCAGTTTAGCTATTTTCAGCCCCAATCTAGCACTGAGTTTAATTGGCTATTGTTAAGATTTTTTTTTCAAATGGTCTTTGTCCTATTTTGTTAAGAAAGTTTCAGTTTTCTAACTCAGTCTACCAACTTTTAGGTTTTTTTTTTATCTAAAATACACAATCAAAAAGAAAAAAAAAAAAAACCTGTGAATCCCAACTCATATTTAAGAACTGAATTTTCTTTAATTGTATTTGTTGTCAAAATATTAGTTTCCTAGGCTGCCTGCTGGGGCTTCTCAGGTGGCTCAGTGGTAAAGAATCACCGGCTAATCAGGAGACAAACTCCTGGGTTGGGAAGATCCCCTGGAAAAGGAAATGGCTACCCACTCAATATTCCTGCCTGGAAAATCCCATGGACAGAGAGTGCTGGTGGGCTACAGTCCATGGGGTCGCAAATAGTCAGACACAACTTAGCGACAGACTATTTTTTACTCTTCAGGCTGCTGCCAATCATCAGAATATGCTATTTTATTATTTGTAAATTTGTTATCAAATTGCTATACTTTCCTTTTTAAAATTACACATTCAAATTAATATAGGAAAAAAGTGAATGAACCACAGATAAAATGTGTATAGGCTAGCTTTTGGACGTTCCCCTTCATGCCTGCTTTAGTTAATAAATTACGTGATTTCTTTAAGGCATACTATAAAAGCATAGCACATTACTTGATAATTGGGGTAAAAATGGATCCCTCAGCTGTAATTTTTGACAGAATGAAATAAAGACTGTAAATAAAAAAAAAAATACACCAACCATTCTACAGTATAAAAAGAAAGAAATAAAAACAGGTAGCTATATCCTCATCACTTTACTTGCCAATCTATTCTAGTGTTCATCTTAATTTACAGTTGCTTAATTCTTCCTGAAAGAGGGACAGGGGAGGTCATCGAGAAATTCCAGCCACACATATACTCACACAGTCAGTTTCAGAGCTGAAATCAGTAATCAACATATGAAGACAATCATTTAATAGCAAGATGCTTAGAAACTTGGAGGACATCAATTACATTTATTGTATTACCTTTGAAAAGCCACCAATGAATTTCAACTAGGGCATTTTCCAAGGAAAAGAATAACTGAAAAAAATATTATGTTAATAATATGTCCAGGAAGCAAACCCATTCCCAGGAAAGAATCCGTCTCATGAACTGCCTTCTGACTACCCCATACACATGTTCAAAGAGAAGTCACCACCAGTTCTGGAAGAATTTGTTGGTTAAATCTTATGATGTGTTAATACAGTAGAATGCCCTTTATTTGTTTTTTAATAGGGACAAAAAGACAAATAGAGAGCTTGAGAAAAAAATTGATAGGAAATTGGTATTGCCCTATAGAGATAAAAGGTACAATGGAAAAAATGCCAACAAGCCACTGAAGACTCCTTCACAGAAGGATACAGTGGATGAGCCCATCTTATCAGAGTGAAATTGATTGCTTAAACATATGGCTTTCTTCATAAAGGATACAGCAATGCTTTCATTCAGCTAAAGTAATCTCCACGTAATCTGCTAAATGGGTTCCACCGTGACGCACTACAAATGAGATCACGGCTGTCTGCCAGATCAGCCATATATATTATTACTGCGAAGAGTGATGGGCAAGATGTGCACTTGTTGATGAATGGAGGAGGAAAAAAAAACAAAACCCACAAACCAACAGTCATAATGGCTTGCAACCAAATTCTGTTGTTTTTTTACAGAAAGAGCTGTTGTGGAAAATTAACTACTGTAAGAGGTTTGTGCTTTTCAACCAACATTTTGGTTTTTAGGAAGTTAACCTCATTCTCGCTGTGGTATGAATAACACTGAACTCTTCCTATATT